GTTAGAATCTGAATACCTGAGAACCAGGAGTATGGAGGGCAGAGAAGATCTGTGACCTAGCTCCATCAGCAAAGAGTGAATTCAACCACCTTTTGTTTTATTCTAGCCTTCAAAGGATTGGATGATGCCTGCCATGTTGTGGAGGGCAATCTGCTTTACTCAGTCCACAGGTGTAAATGCTAATCTCATCTGGAGATACCCTCACAGATACACCAGAAATAATGTTTACTATCTTGTGGCACAGTCAAGTTGACACAAAATTAACCATCATTCCAAGGTTGTCAGGTTTTTCAAGAGACGCCCAGAAATCTAGATTGCTATATGAATTCTTCCAATTTTCAAAGATTAGCAATTAATTCAGTTTTATAGTGAAACACCATGAATGATAAACAAACCTTGTCTGCTGACTGGGTCTGGTCCTTGGGTCACCAGTTTATAACCTCTGGTCTAGGATATACTGCTCTCAAGTATTGGTGGACACGGAGGGCTGTTGGACACAGAATGAACTATAGGAATTACAAATCCCCAGCAGTGATGGTTGTTCTGTCCATTCCATCCTTCCTTTCTTGTACTCCCCTTGTGGAGTGTGTTCACTGTATCTGAGTTGGGTTATAACTAGTGGTATTGATTAGAAGGGAAGGGTCACTACTTGCTATTTATGTACTGTAAAACTCAGACTTGCCACTGAGTGCAGTAGTGATTGTGTTTTCTTCTATATTAGAAGCAGGAGAAAGATTATTAATAGCATTTAACTTTTTTAGTTGCCATATATGTACAATGTGTTAATAGTTATTTTTACTATGTATTTACTTTTTTATATATATATGATTTTTACTATACAGCAAAAACTATTCTAAAGCTTTACGTGTATTAACTGATTTTGTGCTTACAAGTACCCCGTGGGGTAAGTGCTGTTATTGCTAACTCCATTTTACAGGGGAGGAAGTAGAGCATGGAGAAGTTAAATAACTTATTGAAGGTAACAGACAGGAAGTGGTAGAGCCAGGATTTGAACCCTGATGCTTTGGCTCTGGAGACATACTCTTATTACTCCGCCTTCTCTCTCCACCCCCGTGTACCCACTGTCTGTTTTCCACACACGGTTAACTGCTCAGCTTCCCCATGGCCTGGTGCTGAGAGGCAGGCACTGCAGAGCGTGCCCAGAATCAGGTATAGTCTGTCTCTGTCTTCAGCAGTCACCACATTGTTGATGACGCTTTGGCTTTTCATGGGCAAAAATGGAGAAGTTAATGAACATGGTTATCATTCTAAACATTTTACTTAGAAAAATTAAAAACATTTAGACAAGTGCAAGAATAGTATAGTGAACACACACAGACACCTTTGCCCTAGAATCACCAAGTACTAACATTTTGCTGTATTTGTCTCTCTTAACCACTTGAGAATTAGTTCAAGTATTTCATGACTTGATACTTTATTCAGCAAGTCTCTCCTGAGAGTAAGAGCATCTTCTCTATAAGCACAATGATATGTCATTGGTAAAATATTATCGACTCTACAGTCCCTATGCACATTTCCCCATTGTTCCAGTATTGTCCTTTATAGTAACCTTTTGTTTTTCTCTCCAGGATCCAATCAAAGATTTCATTTAGTTGTCATATTTCTTTAGTCTACTTTAATCTACAGGTATTTACCAGACTTTTTTTTTCTTCCAGCTACTTGGAAGGCTAAGGTGGAAGGATAAACTTTTTTTCTTTTAGTCTTTTATAACATTGACATTTTTAAGATTCCAGACATTTTAAAGATAACCTTAAGTCTAATTATATTTAATTGTTTAGATTCAGAATTTAAAAAACGTTTAGGAATATCATTTGGGGAGAAGTTGTGTTCTTCTCGGTATATCACATTTAAAAGTATATGCTATCATTATTTTACATTATTGGTGATACCAGTTTTGACCATTGGTGTCCATTGGTATCCATTGATTATTGTCTGAATCACTTACTCTTATGGTTTTTGTAAAATGGTTATTTTCTATTTTTATATTTTCTAGTACATTTATTAACCAGATTTTCTATAACTAGGAACTTCTGTGGTAGGCAGAATAATAGTCCCCCCAAAATGTCTGCCTCCTCATTCCCAGAACCTTTGAATATGTTACCTTACATGGCAAAGGTTGTAGATGGAATTATGGTTGCCTATCAACTGACCTTAAGATAAGGACATCATCTTGTATTATCCAAGTGGGTCCAACATAATCACAAGGATTCTTTAAAATGGGAGGAGGAGGTAGAATAGGTCAGAGTGTTGTGGTGTGAGAAGAGCTGGACCCACCTTGTTAGCTTCAAAGATGGAGGAAGGAGGCCATAAGCCACAAGCCAAGGAATGGGGTGGCCACTGGAAGCTGGAAAAAGGAGGGAAGTAAATCCTACCAAGAGCCAACAAAAAGAACCCATCCCTGTCGATGCCTTGACTTTAGCCCGATGAGACCTGTGTTAGACTTCTGACCTACAGAACTATAAGAAAATTAACTTGCATTTAAGCTGCCAAGTGTTGTAATCTATTATAGCAGCCTTTCCACCTCCTTCTCAGTGTGGACTCATAAGTGTGTTATAAGCCTTTTCGCTATTTATTTTTATGTTTAAGTTGTCTCAAGTTTGGCTGTTGGGAGCCCCTTCAAACTCTTTGTGACAGCTCCCTAGTCAGTTTTGAGCATTTTTTTTCTTCTTTTTTTGGCATAGCAAGATAGTCCAGGCCTATTTTGTGCTTTTCCTCCCCCAGCTTGGAATCAGAATGCGTACTCCTAAGCAGTGCATTGCACTGCTTCTTACGTCATGTTCTGCACTGAAGCAGACACACGATTTGTGCTGTGTACTGCAAAGACAACATAACAGTGACTGGCCATTGGGAAAAAACTGTAACTCAGCTTTAAAGTTTGCCACAAGAATAAGAAGTATGGAGAGTCCGGCTTTTTTTACATTAATCATCCTGTGTTTATATGGCATTCCTACCAGGGCTGGGGAAGTAGCAGCAGGGATTTATGAATATTTTCACATAAACTCATAAAAAGAATGGTCGTCTTTGACTATAGAGGTTGAATATTGTCCTAGAATCCGTTCATAAATGTCTATACTAAACTCACTTAGAAATATTCAGTATGCAGTTCACTTAAAAAATCCTTCCATAGAACTCTTAGCTAGCTTTTGCCAACAGTTTGTAGTGGTGCATAGGAAGAGATTGTAATGGTCTAGAGCAAAGCTAATCCCTGGGGATATGTAAAAATCTCACATGGTTTCAGAATTTTCTTCTCTGACAGTAGTCACAAGCACAAATGCTTACAGGGGCCTGGCAGAAAGTGAAAATGGGTGAAGTAGGGTGGCACTGTGCAGAACAAGAGTATAGGCCTGTCCTGAAGGGAGCAGTTGCAGTTCTCCCATTGACTCTTGCCATTGGAGAGAAGAGAGCCCAGGGTTGCTAGATTTTTCAAGAGAAGCCCATAAATCTAGTTTTTTATATGCATACTTCCAATTTCAAAAGGTTAGCAGCTAATTTAATCTTATTTTTAGAGCACCATGAGGAATGAACAAACCATGTCTGCAAGCTGGATTTGGTTCTTGGGTTACCACTTTCTAATGTTTGGGCTGAGATACAATGGTAACCAGCGGTATAGGACACAGAGGGCTGTCTGAAGCAGGGGTTCTAAATCTCTTTGGAACAGTAGACTCATTGGCAGTCTGGAGAAACCTGTGGGCCTTGTCTAAGAATAATGTTGTTTGTAGAGATGAAGTCTTGCTATATTGTCCAGGCTGGTCTTGAGCTCCTGGCCTCAAGTTATCCTCCTACCTTGTCTTCTCAAAGTGCTGGGGTTATAGATGTAAGCCACCATACCTGGCCAGAAAAATTTTTTTTTTGAGTTAGAGTCTCACTCCTCTGCCCAGGCTGGAGTGCAGTGGCATGCATGCTCACAGCCATCCCAGTGTCGACCTGCTGGGCTCCAGTGATCCTTCCGCCTCAGCCTTCTGAGTAACCGGAACTACAGATGCATGCTACCATGCCCGACTATTTTTTATTTTATTGCAGAGACGAGGTCTCGCCAAGTTGCCTGGGCTGGTCTCAAACCCACATGCTCTGGCAGTCCACTTGCCTCGGCCTCCCAAATTGCTGGGATTACAGGCTGAGCCACTGAGCCTGGCCCAGAAAAATGTTTTTAAGTAGATAAAAATATATATAAGTTATTACAAAGGTAATTGTGCTGAAACGTAGTAATCAAAATATTTTTTTAGAATTTGTGATGTATGTGCTTTTTTATTAGCTAGTGGGAGGTTTGTTAACTACCATAATTTTTAAATACTATAAGAATAAGTGACATCTTGAGATAATTGTAACAACTGTAAAATAGTTGAAAATATCTGATACCTATTGGTGTCAGGGTCACTAATATGTTAATACTGCCTACTTTCTTGCCTGCCTTCCTAATTGAAGTTATTGTTAAATTTCAAATAGTAGCGAATGAAAACAACCACGTAATTTTTCTCCCTATCCATGTTTAGTGAATTCCAGTGAGTCTCGGGTTACAAGCCCTTGGTTTAAAATGATCTTCAATTTATTTGTCGTAGTTTTAAGGGTAGAAGTATTTTTTTTTTTTTTTTTTTGAGTTGGAGTCTCACTCTGTCACCCAGACTGGAGTGCAGTGGCCGCTCCCGGCCACCGCAGCCTCGACCTGCTGGGTTCCGGCGATCCTTCCGCCTCAGCCTTCCAAGTAGCCAGAATTATAGGCATGCACTACCACGCCTGGCTGATTTTTTGATTTTTTGTAGAGATGAGGTCTCGCTGCCCAGGCGGGTCTCGAACCCGCGGGCTCAGGCCATCCACTCACCTCAGCCTCCAAAGGCGTGGGATTACAGGCTGAGCCACCGAGTTCAGCTAGGGTAGAAGTATTAATGCTATTGAGTATAATTGAACAAGCCATCATCTTACAGATTATTTGTCTCCACAGTTAACTTTCTGGTTACCAAACTTGATTCTTTGTTTTTCTTTAGAACGGTATCATTTGTCTTACAAGATTGTGAGAACTGACAGTCGCCTGGTACGCAGCATTCTGACAGCCCATGGATTTCATGAAGTAAGTTCATTTTTGCTACGTCACCTGATCTGCTCAGAAGCTGAAAATTCTAGCCACCTAACTGACTTTACCAATTAACAGGGCCAGCTCTAGGAGGTATGTGGGACCAGTGCAGATGATGTAGAACTCAGATTGGAGTTCTGAGTGGCTTTCCCAGTTTCTCCTTGCAATACATGGAACATATTTCCATAGGATTTTTTACAAAATTATTTTTCTTGCTATGTTCTTAGGCTTGGTTTAGAGGCACGGTTGCCCATATGGAATTGTCTGATACCCATTAATGTTCTTTGATTGCAGGCAACAGAAACAGACTCTGCTTTCCTTAAACCAAAAATGATTTGGTTTTGTAGGAAAGGTGTGCAGAGGGTAGCTAGTGGAATCAGAGGAAAAACTTGAAAAGGCAGGACTTTGGAAGGAGAGAGGACAACCCCAGGGATCTAGGAACAGGAATTTTCTAGATCATCTCAGGGCACTGTCATGGAAGTGACTGGACTCCATTCATTGTTCTTGTGCCTTTCTCTGCTCAAGAATCACATTCTATCCCACGCCTTTGGGAGGCTGAGGTGAGTGGATTGCCTGAGCCCGCGGGTTCGAGACCCGCCTGGGCAGGCGAGACCCCATCTCTACAATAAATAAAAAAATCAGTCGGGTGTGGTAGCGCGCGCCTGTAATTCCGGCTACTCGGAAGGCTGAGGCGGAAGGG